AGATCCTCTTTTGTTGCCAGTTCAGAGAGTCCAGGTGGTTGAGTATCAGATTGTTCCATCTCGTTTCCCTTTGGGGTTGCTGTAGGTGATGTGGAAGTCTGTTTTTGAGGCTTGTTTACGTGTCTTCTCATTTCCACAGTGTGTGTGAGGGTGCTTCTGGCACCTGCTCGACTCACCTTCTCTGCCCTAGGAGCTTGGGATGGCAGCAGGGGAGCTTCCTTCTGGGTTCTGGGACTGGCTGAGCTTCTCTGCCCTAGAAGCCTGGGATGGCAGTGGGGGAGCTTCCTTCCAGGTGCTGGGACTGGCTCACCTTCTCTGCCCTAGGAGCTTGGCATGGCAGTGGGGAAGCTTCCTTCCAGGTTCCTCACATGTGCTTTTTATAAAATTTAAAGGACAGTGGCTGTTTAGGGAGTCATAAAATGGGTATGCTCTTCAGAGGCACCTAAGAAAGCCCCTCACTCTATAGATCTGTGATGGCAGACAGTTTAGAGATTGAGTGCCATATTCCAACCCAAACCCTACTTGTGCATCACAAAGCAATTAAACTAGAATAGTGAGGCTTTGCTTCAGAAAAACAACTCTACGTTTACATCTTTTGTTGTAAGAAGAAAACAGAGTTGAGTGCATGTCATAGATTCGCCACCATTGCTATAGTGGTTATATTACTTCTTTTTTTTTTTTTTTTGGTACCAGGGATTGAACTCTGGTCCTTGTGCTTGCGCAGCAGGCGGCAAAACCAATGAGCTAAATCCCCAGCCCTATTTTGTTTTTTAACCATTGCTATAGTGGTGAAACTGGGTTCTGGATTTGGAAGAGCTTTGCTTAAAGTCACCAGCTAAAGGGAAACCATAGCCTAGGTTATACTCACTCAGGAATTCCATAGAAGGTAACCTGATTTGACCTCAGTGATTCCTTTTCTCCTGCATACGTCTGTGGCTGGAAAGAGGTTTCTTGCCCTATTTCCTATGTGTTTGTACTTGTACTAACACTTTATTAATTTCACATGGCATTTGATGCTTCATGTCATGTGAATTCTAGGACTGTTTCTGAGGTAAGTGTTATCCTCTTTGTCTTACAGTAAGAATTATTGTGGTTTCCCTCCAAGAATACGAAAGGAGTGACTAGAAGCATGCGGTTTACTATGTAACCCTAATGGATATTTTTCCCTTACACACAAACACGCATTTCCTTTTTAAAAATACTAAATTTTAATCAAATGTAGAAGCTCTTGGTGAAATAATAAAAATGTTATAAAAGGAAGATTAGGGAAATAGAATCCATCTTAACCATTACACCCAGTTCCAGTCCTTTTCCTCTCATCCTGCAGGAAACAAAGGCCATGAGTTTGGTGTCTGTCCCACCAGACACTTTTCTGTGCATTTGTTTTCATACAGTTGAGCCCATGAAAATGCAAACATTTTATGTACCAGAGAACAGTTTTATATTTTATTTCTAGTTTTGAAACATATATTTTTTATCTTAGAATTTTCCCTTTTTATACAGTAAAATCCAGCTTAGAGTTTTCATGTCAGCTCCTATAGTTGTCTCTCATTCTACCAATCTATATAAAATTTCATGGAATCTAAGTAGCTGTGCTTTAACCATTTGCCATACATACATTGTGTAGTCCATTGTGGAGACTGCTATGAACGATTGCATATTGGCATCCTAGTGGACATGTGGTTTTCTAGAGTAGATAACAACTGTGCCATCTTCAGGGCGTAGCTAGGACACATGTACTGAAAGTGAGTAGAAACTTCCAAATTGTTCCAAGAGTAGCTGCATGAACTCACAGCACCATTTTTCTCCAGTTTCCTCTGGAAGGCTGTATGCTTTCCTAGCCCTCTCAACAATGTCTGGGAGCCTCCTTTAACGACAGCCTGGCCATGTGACATCATCTGTATCATTGCAGTCTAATGGGTGACAGTCATTGGCTGCTCCTTTTTCCTCATATGTGAATTACCTATTATGTCTTTTGCTACTTTTAGTATCGGGCTTTTTTATAGTGGAGTAGGGTATTGCATTAGTCAGCTTTCCTGTCACTGGAACACAAACCTGACACCCACACTTAAAGAAAGAGAGGTTGAATTAGGCTCATGGTTTAAATCATGGTCAGCAGGCTCCAAGGAAGAAACATAGTAGAAGAGCAATAAATTTTAGTGATTTATTGTACTGTATGGTATTCACAGTTAATACTAATAGTGGATTATTTATTTCAAAATTGCTAAGTGATTTTTAATGTTCTCATCACAAAATTTGATACCTTGGTGAGGTGATGAATACATTATTAGTTTAACTGAAACTTACTTAAATGGATACATAGATCAAAACCTCATATTGAACCACAAAATACAAAATCATTATTTTTCCTTTAAAGAAAAATAAGTAAATGATCTATTAATTCCTTCTGACTTCATATTACCTGCAGAACAAGCAAGTGGTCCCGAACAGGCCAATTCCATTTCCAGGACTGACTGACAGGGGAATAGCACATCAGAACCAGCTCAGCCCATCTTCCAGGCCTAGCACTGTCCTGTTCAAGGCATTCAAGTCAGCAGTGCACAATATCTGCTTATTGAGAGCAGTGAATATGGTGTTGTTTTTGGATTGGTTTCATATGAAATAGTGGAATTGAATTGCAGAGCCAGGACTTTTCATTTGAGAGTTTATTGGTTTATTGAATGACACTCAAGATTGGAGTGTTTAAATCAGCAGAAAGGTCTTACTTCTGAGATGAATTTAGAGATGCTGGTGGCCAACTCTCTCTATTTGGGGGCAGCAGCATGTAGAGTGAGAAGCTTGGCAGGGCTTATGATCATATCAAATTGATGCTAAAGAAACGTATACACTGTGACTCTATGCATCTTCCTGGAATCATCTATTTGCACAAAAACTGCAGCATATCTGTGAGACTTTGGTACTGCACAACTTAGTTTTTTCATTTTTCCTTGCAGCACCAGCCAGGTCAGAGGTTGCCCTTACAGCATTTTTGGGTCAATCAGTGACTTTGCCCTGTTTGTACTTGTCCTGGTCTCCGAGCAGCCACAGCATGTGCTGGGGAAAAGGCCAGTGTCCCAATTCCAAATGCAACCAGGAGCTTATCCACACGGATGGAACTGGAGTGACTTTGCGTATGTCAGAAAAATACAGACTTAGGGGGAAAATCCAGAGGGGTGATGTCTCCTTGACCATCTTAAACACCGAAGAAGGGGACAGCGGGGTGTACTGCTGCCGCATAGAAGTGCCTGGCTGGTTCAATGATGTGAAGAGGAACATTCAACTGGTGCTGAGGAGAGGTGAGCAGGTGGGGCTCCAATCTGGGGAAGGAGAAACTCCCCAGTCGATGGGTAATGGATTCACCGGGTGGTACTGAGGAGGCTGAACTTGCTGAAGCAGGGAGTGGAAAGATGAGATTTGAAATGATGAGCCATGATAGGCAGCAGGGAGGGACAATGCATGTGGGGACCAAGGCATCCATGGAAATGAGTAAGGGAGGGCAGGAAATGACAGGGAACTGGGAAATTACATAAGGAATCTAAAGAGGGCAGCTGCTACTTATCTAGGGAATGGTCCGTCACCTTCCAGAAATTTGGGCCTAGCGTTTTCAGACCTCCTAGATTTTATGTGAATTATATTTAGCTTTGCATATTGGAGAATTTGAAAAGCCAAATGAAAATATGGTATGAACTAAGTAGAATGTGTTTCCGGGTCAGCTTCCGCCTGTAGAGAATTAGTTGGTGACTTTCGGTAGAGGTGAGGGCATAGGATTTGGAGACAGTCTCAGCAGTTTTCAGGCATTCTTTCCTTCTGTTACACTTAGTTGCTTTTGATAAATTTTGGAATGTGATGGGACTCCTGAAGATTTGAGTTTCACAGAATAAGCTGCACTGAGCCTGTGGTTGAGTTATTTTAATGATAACCCCTGTTAGTGCTTGTCTTAAGGGAGCTTTGCAATCTTAGGTCTGTTTCCAACAGACTGGTACCTTGAAAAGTGGGGTCTCCATAGCTGTATTCGTTAGGCTTTGCAAGTTTCTCTAATGCGCACTACAGCTGGGGAACAGTGGGTGTGGGTGCTTTTTCTTACCTATTACTACAATTAGTATCTTTTTCTCTGAAAGCAACTAAGTGAGCTAGAAGGCACTATTCTAATTTGGTATAAGAGGAAAGTGAATGTATTGAAGTTAAATGACTCCAACCCCAGTATTTTCTTGCCTGATATAGCTCACTATCATTTTATAAAATATCTGTTGACCTCAATATTCTACTGGGTCATTTCCAAGTTCAATTGGAACAAATGATGTCTTTCTGCTTCATTAAAGTCTAGGGGAACTTGGCATATTCTAGAAATGGTGAGATCCATAGACTCAACTGTGGGTAATAAACCCAAATGTAGTTGTTGATGGACTAAGTGATGTTGCAATTGAATCTTCTATATCAGAAGGAGATGCATGCTCACTCTAGGTTGCCTACTGCTTGCCAGACACAGGGAGATGTATTGGATTCATAACAGAAACCAAAGTAAATACAGTATCTGGTTTTTCTCATGGTGCTTACAGCCTAGTGGGAGAAGGAAACATTGAACAATAACAATCAAGGAAATGTGTAGTTATGAAATACCATAAATTCTGTGAAGGTACAGTATGAGAACTTATACCAGGCATTACTGTTATTGTAGAATCTGGATGTCCTCTTCACAAAAGTAAAGAGACCTTTGAGCTGAGACCAAAGGATAAGGCAGGATCAGCCTAGTGAATAGGAATGCAAATAGGATAGGAAATCCCTGTGCCCAGAAGGTCATTGATGTGTTCAAAGAACTGAAGAAAGATGAGTTGTCTGAGAAAACTAAAAAGAAGAGAGTGGGGACATGATTGGAAAGAAAGGCAGAGTCAAGGCAGATGGTGCCTTTTAGGCCAAGGGGCTGGATTCTTTATCTCATAGGCGAGGAGGACCCCATACAAGTTTTAAGCAGAGAATTGGGATGATTAGATTTGTAATTTTAAAAGACTATTCAAGCCATTATGAAAGAATAGATTGGAAGGGACAAGAATGGAGGTAAGAAACCCAATTTTGGTGAGCATTACGGTGGACCATGCCAGTGGACCAGGTGGAAGCATCAGAAATGGAGAGAAGTGGACAGATCCATTTCTTCATCTCATGTGGTGTAAGACACATCTTCTCTTGGTTACAGCCCCAACAACTATGGACCAAACATCAACCTCTCGCCAAACTACCACCACTCATTTGCTGCCAACCACAACTGTGCTGCCAACAACAGCCCTGGCTACAACAGCCTCCCACCCAGCTACCACCCCACACATGCCTACCACCAGAGCTGTGCTACCGACTACAGGTGTGACTACAACAACCTCCCACCGAACCACCGCCCCTCACGTGCCAACGACCGCAGCTGTGCTGCCAACAACCTTCGAGACTACTCGTGAGCTCACAGCCGGAACCCCCTTTCAAGCAAAGGCCACCTCTATCTTCACAACAACAGCAACCATGTGCCTCCTGACAAGGCCGAGCTTTGTCTCAGAGAGAACCCCGGAGACTTCCAAGGAAGGGCCCATCTCCACTGCAGGTACAGGACAGAAATGGCCACTTTTCCCTTCTACTGGGCAGACATGCCTTGCTCTTCTTAGAGTAGGGTTCTCCCACTGGATGGGACAATCTAGCCATGTGCCCTTGATTCATGTGTGTGTGTGTGTGTGTGTGTGTGTGTGTGTGTGTGCGCGTGCGCGCGTTTTCTGACCTACCATAACAAATGCCACAGACTGCATGGCTTAAACAACAGAACTTTATTTTCTCCCAAGTCTGGGTGTTAGAAGTCCAAGGTTAACATGTCAGAAGCTTCCATTTCTTCTACATCTTCTTTCCATGGTTTGTAGATGGCTGTCTTCTCAGTATGTCTCATGTGGTCTTCCCTCTGTCTGACTGTCCTTCTGGTGTCCTAATCTAATTTTAGGAAACCAGTCATACTGGGTTAGGGTCCATCCATAGGACCTAATTTTGCCTTAATCTTCTCTTTGAAAGCCCTGTCTAGAATACAGTCACATTCAGAGGTACTGAGTGTTGGCATTTCAACATGTGAATTTTGCAGACAACGCAGCCCAAAATAGTGAGCATGTGTGTGTGCATGCATGTGTTTGTGTGTGTGTAAAGATGTGATTTCGCTATATTGCTTCCTTTGTTTTAGTGTTTTCTTCTTCAATTTCTCTTTTGTGTGTGTTTCTGGAATGTCAGCATTTGCATTTTCTAGTTGACTTGCCAGAGTTGCAGGAGTTGCAGGAGTTGCTTATTAAAGAACCAGGGAATGGTATTCTGGGTCAGGCCCCAGCTCTGTCCTTTCTGGGATGAAGTCTCTGCCTGGACCTTAGAGACTGACTGAGAACAGCTGTCCAGATGGCTTGAAACACCCCTTCATGCTGAAATGGTTCTCTTCTATGTCTTTGCTTCCTTCTTTCCTTTTTTCCCCTGCTTCTGAATTTTCTTGGCCCTGCCTCTTACATCTCTCTAGTGATTAGTTTCATTGGTTGTGTGGAGTGTGAAGGCTTGCACCATGTTTCAACCTTTGATTCTGAGGTAAGAATATTGGAAAGCAATAACTAGAAAGCTTGAAGGTTTTCCTAGGCATTTCAGCTGCCTCAATAAGACCTGGATGGTTCAAATAGATTTAAAATATGGAATAGGCTAACTCTATTATACTCTGAGTTGTCACTGAAATCCATGAACTCTATATTAAACAATTTTTGTACATTTAAAAATTTCATTTGTGCTGTTAAATAATCATGTTAGAACACATTTGTAGTTTCTTTATCTTTATTCAAAAAAATGCCTGCAATTCTTAAGGAAAACTGGAAATATTCAGAGAAGCACAAAGATGACTATAAAAATCACCCTGAATCCCATCACCCACCACACATACTGTTAATACTGGTATTTTCAGGTGCTTTTTATCAAGCCGTTTTTTCTTCTAGAATAAGGAACTTTTCTTCTGTCTAGTGACTCCCCGAGAAGCACTGAGGCAACTTTTGCAGACAGCAGCTTGCTCACACCCAAAGGTCTGGGGATGCTTGCTCTGTCTTCTGGACTCTTTGCCCCTGGGAGAAGCAATCACTGAAAGATTCAGATCACTAGACCTGACCTTCAGCCTTTTGGGTCCTGAGATCTACTTGGCACAAAAGAGTATCAGACAGCTTTTTCATTACTGTGGCTCTTGGGAAAAAGGAGGAGGGAGAGTGTTCTTCTTGATTCTTGTAGTTCTCGGTGGGGGCACATGGCACATCTCTGGCATATTGGTCACTACACTGTACTAGAGGTCTCATCCTAATTCCAAGGGCAGTGATTTTCTTTTTTTTCCCTTAAATTCTTTTATTGGTACATTTTAGGTATACAATATGTTTACATTTATCATTGTGTGCTTGTACCTGTACATGATGTATCTTGCTTCTTGTTTTTTCCCCATTACCTGTGCGCCCTTCCCTATTTACACAGACTTCGTTTCCATTTTTTTTCTTTGTTGAAACTCAATAAGTTTGTTTTCTCTTTTCCTTTTGTTTTTTTGAAGGATCTGAAGCTTGGTTTCACTCATCAACATCCCAGGTGACAAGGAAGATGTCTAAAGACAGTAAGTAATCCAGTAACTTTTCCTCCATGAGGCAGGGAGCAGTGTTCCTTTGAGTGGCTTGCTTTGTGTAGGGAACAATCTGACCCACACCTGCATGTCTCGGAATTCAGTTGTTTGGGCTGTACTGCATTGTGGCCGAATTTCACAAACTCACTGCAGGCCTCAGGGGTGGCTCCTGTTCTCCTCTGCTCATTCCTGAAACCCCTCTGTCAGGTCTAGTTCTTCCTTAACAATTTCTGACTTGAAACTAGGAATAGTGATAGGAGAATCACCTACTCATTTTTCAAAGGATTACTTCTTTATTCTAAATCACAGAATCCTTATGCCAATGGACTTTGGTTAGGGGCACATAAGTACTGAAATAAACTTCTCTTTGAAACCCTGTCCTCAATCCCAGAACTTTGCTCTGAGGCAATCATTCTTACTAGTTGAAGTCAACCATTCTAGATCTTTTTTCCATTTCCTATCTGTGTTTACGGTACAGAAATATATTTTTAAGTATTACGTATTTTTAAAAAGTCGTCAGAAACCATATGCAGCTTTGTTTCTATTTGTCTTTATTCACTGTTTTCTAGTTTGTGGAGAAATCTGCACCATTATGTCAAATTGCTGTGTAGTATTTCATACTATGGGCTCTCATGGTATCTACTGTTTATTTAATGGCATGTTACACTTAAGTGTTTCACTATATAGATAGTGCTGCTGTGAACTCCCTTGAGTGTGTGCTTACTTAAGCATTCATGCAAATGTTTCTATAGATAGATTGGTGGCCAAGAAGTAGAAATGCTAGGTTGAAAAAATGTGCACTTTAAAATTTAACATATATTACAAAATTGTCCAAGGGGAAGGCTGTGCCAGTTTCCTTTCCTACCCCCAGAGTATCTACTTTCCCATATCCTCCCTACACTTGATAGGACCATTTGTTTAATGTTTCAATCTCCTGAGAACATGTCGTCATGTTCTTCTGTTCTGATTAACAGAGAGTGTGGGTATATTTCTGAATGTTTATTAGTAAAAAACAGTTACACTTCAACTCTGCATAGTAGGCAAGGTAACATCACTCACACAGGCTTGGAAGACCAGCTTCGAAGGATAGACAAGAGTGAGTGGAAGGGGAATAGCTTTGGAAGTAAGACTATAAATCAAGATGAAATCCAAGAGTGATTGGATGTTGAAAAGATTTGGCTTGCCCATAGCAGGAAAGCAGAAATCTGGAATAGGAATTGACAACTTAAGGGAAACTGGGTGCCAGGATCCAAGCCTTCTTTTCTCAGAGGATGGGTTATACATAGGGGACTGCATTGTAGGGAAAAGAGAAAGCAACGACTAGAAAGATAATGGAGAGTGGGAAGAGCGTTCCAAATCTATTATTCTTCATTCCATTTAAATCTTGGATTTTTGCACACTGAATTGTGAGGAAATAAGACATCATTTGTTGTTTCATCTTCTTCTATACTGCCCCTGATAAGTTTCATTTTACTCCTCCTGACCAAAGCCCAGGAGAGAGAATGCTGCAGCAGTGTCCATGGGCCGGGCTGCTGAAGAAGCGCTTGCCATATGACAGCCAGTCGGTCTCCATGTCACATGTAGTCCTTATGTGAGAAACTAGTTTTATCGAACACTTTGATTTTGAGGAAGAGCCAGAAGTAGCATGGTGCCATATGTAGTAAACAAGGTGGATGAGGACACACCATAATGTTTTTATTTGACAGAAATGGCCTTAAATATTTTGAATTGATTCAGGACATCAAACTGGCCAGGACAGCACAACTACAGATGCTCATGCAGCAGGATTTCTAGAACTGCTTAAGAAAGTGACAAGAACAATGGGATAGGTAGGGGCTTAGTGAGGGTTGATATTTTGAGGAAGAATAATGACAATGTATCTTTTGCTATAATAATTTAAAAATAATTCAACATTACTGTATCTTTTGTTCACCCTCATAGTATATGCTGGGTCAGTGTTAAGATGTTCGCATGGGCCACTTCATTCAATATCTCTCTGGCAGATGTTCAAGACCCTATTTTCCCTAAATTTCTCAAGGCCACACAGCTCTCAGATACATATCAGATCCAGAGAATCTACCTCTTGCATGTTCTCACACATTACTTTATTTTACCTGGCCTTCCTGAAATAAAAGTTGTTTTCATTTATCATCCCACTTTTTGTTGCAGTGAGACATTCACAGTAATAATTGCAGTTCCTCCTACTGAGAACCTAACTGTATATCAGGTGCTATTTTAAGATTTTGACATCCATTTTCATATTTAAATCTCAGTGACCTTCTAGGCAGGGACAGACATTGTTTCCGCTTTACAGGTAAAGAAATGGATGATCATGGGTCGGAGATTTAGCTCAGTGGCACCGCATCTGCCTGGCAAGAGCAAGGTCCTGACTTTGATCCCTGGTCCCCCAAAAAAAGGAGGAGCACGGAGCTGATTAGAGATGCTAAATTAGCCAAAGTCTTTCTTTAAAGATGCATTTTGTCTGTATTATCTCTTTGTATTTTTCACAAAGTCTTACGTGATAGAAATAGTTACACACTTGTTAGAGGTTAAAGATTAATAACTTGTCAAGCTCATGATGAACCTGGATTTAATACATGTTCTTTGAGCTGTTTTGTTTTGTTTTGTTTTGTCGTGACAGGATTTTGCTATGTAGTTCAGACTGCCCTTGTACTCACTATGTAGCGCAGGCTGACCTCAAACTCATGGTGATCCTCCTGCCTCAGCCTCCTGAGTGCTGGGATTACAGGTGTGCGCCACCATTCCTGGGTCAATTTTGACACCACTCTAACACCATGCCATGATGCTTCCCTCCTTATATCCCCCGAGCCTCTTATAGGATACAGTGACCTCTTCCTCTTCAGGAAAATGCTTTTAAACCACCTTACAGGCTCTGCATGCCTCTGTGGAGTTTTCTTTCCATGGTAATCTATTCCCAGTTTCCTCCCCATTTCTTCTTGTAGGTTTTGGATGGCAGAGCTTCTGTGGTTGAGGGCTTCTTTAAATCTTTAGCCCTGAGCCAGGCATGGTGGTGGATGCCTATAATTCAAGTACTCTGGGAAGTTGAGGCGGGGGGATCACAAATTCAAGTCCAACCTGAGCAGTTCAGCAATTCAGTGAGAACTTATCTTTAAAAGTTTCTAAAAATTTAAAAAGGAAAAGAAAAAAATGTCTGGGAATGTAGCTCAGTGCAAAGTTTCTGCATTCAATACACAGTACTGGAAAAAAAAAATATCTTGCACTATTCAGGGTGGCAGTTCCTCCTCTACTCTATGGTTGCCTAGAAGTGAAACTCAGAGCTGTAGAGCAACAGCTGGGCAGTGGAGGAGCTGAGAGTCACAAACCATTTCAGAAATTTTTAAAGCTCTGTCTTCAAACTTCTTAGGTGAATTGTCTGTGGGTAAACTTTGAGGGGTGGAGCATGAACCACCTGAAATTACATGAATAATTATTTGTGTTTGTGTCTCTACACAGTTTTCTGGGAGAAGTCCAGGACTTTCATTAGATTCTGCAAAAGTTCTGCAATACTCAAATGGTGAGGAGCCACCATTCAATCACAAACACAACAATGAAATCTCCGGTGAAGCTTTTCTGTAGGTTCACTGTCCCTCTTGGTCATCTGTTAGAGAAGCACAAACTATCAATACTCCAGGATTCATTTCATTTCTTGCTTAGTGCAAGAATTTGTGAAATGGTCCCAAATTTCCCGCAACGCTCCAATCTCTGTTGTTCCTGGACTGCCGGTCCAGGGGGAATGGAGCTACATCGTCATGCCGTGTCCTAAATGAGACAAAGTGGCCTGGGGTTCAGTCCTCTGCTGATGACATTGCAAGGTTGCTTTTATTGCCTCAGCACCCCAACTCCTTTCTTTCTAGTCCTTTCTTTCACTAACTTTCTGGGTAGCATTAGGTAGAGGCCGAGAGAGAGCTCAACTGGGAGCCCAAAGGCTCATGATTATATCATCATTTTGTGATTTCTTTTCTTCTTTAGAATCTCCGGTGAGTTTCATGTTTTTTCTTTTTCTAAATCTCACTTTCTTCAAAATGTGAAATGGAGAAAACAAGAGTGCTCATATCAGAGGGCTGCTAAGTTTGGAAATGTGTGAAAAACATGCCCAGTGTCTAATGGTTGGGTGGTAAGTGATAGTCATCATGGAGGATTCCTATTTCCTCCCTACTTCATACCTCTGCTGTGATTCCCACTCACACACCTTCCTTTTTAGACCAGTATAGCAGAGAAACACGAGGTCATTTCTACCAGCCCTCAATAGACTGCTGGTCTTCCTATGTACATACTCACTTTCTAGATTTCTGATTTAAAAAAAACTGCTAATCACACTGGGGAAATAGCCAATGCGTGACAAAACTGCAAACTTGGGGAAGCAACAAAAGCTTTTAAAATCTCATAATAGTCATTCTCTACTGACGAGTAGAGTAAATGTGAGATTCTGAACCCTTTTTGCCGATGCCATTTTAGACAGCTCTGTAGTAAGTGCAGTTAGCAGGCTTACTGACGTGGGCAGACACACTGACTCTACCCCTGTCTCTCGGTTGCTTTGTTCTCTTTACATGGCTCAGTCTGTGGAGGTTCTACCATATAATTTAGGCTTGAAAATCACACTGTGGCTGAAAAAGAGCTGTGGTCTACTTTGCCATGCAAGGACATTGAGATTCATGCTATGTATTTTATAAGGTAACACCTTGTATGCTTCTTTCTGGTTCAGTGGCTTCCTCCAAATGTAAGGTGTTTGGTCTGCCCTGAAAGGAGCCTCGCCAGGGTGGCACATCCTCACCTCCACTCTCTGGCTGCATAGACTTGGAGCTTTGAGGTGTAAGGACTGGCTCAGGATCACACAGCTGGATGGAGGCAGGGCTGGGACGCACGGCCAGGCTTTAGAGATTTGATCATATGTCTGTGAGGTGCTGGGATGGGGGTGGGGTATGCACAAGCGCTGGCTGTGGAACACTGGGAGTGGAGGATGGGAAAGAAGGCCC